TTGGGATGGATGTGTTATGTATGAATTCAAATAAAGGAAAAACAAGTGAAAATCAGTTCACCATTTGTGAAAAAGAAGTGGTTTTGTTCTCATTTTTTAAGGAAGTTTTTGTTTTCCCTTCTAAAGTAGCTTTTGGTTTGCACCACTCTCACGTTATGAATCATTTCTTTGTCAAACTTTACGCTCTCCTACAATTGTATCTTATCTTATTATCTTCCTAAAGATGTTTCCAACACGCGATACACAAAATTAGTTGAAACTCACCTTAGTATTGGAACTGACAGAGTTTTGTTGCTGTTACAATACGTTGTCATACAATTTCAACATATTTTTAGCATGGAATTTAACATTTTTGTGAAAAAGTGAAATTACTGTTTGATAAGCCTCATTGCAAAGACAATATATACAAAAAATCAATGTCATAATAAAGAAATCATGGATTCGACTCCCCCTCTCTCCTCTAATATACCCACAATATATATATATATATGTCTGCAGAGTTTGCATAATTGTTTTGGGTTGACATTTTTTTTGGGATTTTCCCTTGTGTTATTGATGTATTATGTCTACATTGTAGTTGATAAATATATATATATATATATATATATATTATATATATTTTAGAGTCTTTTGGGAAGCATAAAAAAATCCAACTTTTAACTTTCTATCTATTTTGAGTCATATCACCTCTCATATTTTTTTAGCTTTTGACTTTTTTTTTCGAATCAAAAAGTCAATTTTTTACCAATTTTTCAAAACACCACTATTAGGGATGGCAATCTGAACCCGGCCCGATGGGGACCCGACCCCCTGACCCCAATTTGAGTGGTTATTTCTCGAAAAATACCCCCGAAGAGCCGGGAATGGTATTAAAAAAGGAATCCCCAATGACATCCGGGCCGGGAACGGGGATAGCTGTCTAAGAACCGTACCCGGCCCGGCCCCGGTCCCGGCCCCGGTCCCGCCCCGTTTATCCCCCGATGCAAAATTACTCTTTTGTCCCTTGGTATATACATATGTGTGTGTTTGTTAGGGTTTGACACAACACAACAAACAACACACTCATCTCAGTCTCTCACGCACACATGTTGTTTTGGGAAGTTGGTAAAAAGTTGGCTTTTGACTTTTTACCAAGCTTTTTGGCTTTTTTGGAAGTGATTTGGGAAGTCAGTAAAAAGCTGACTTTTTGCTTTTTAGTTTAATATTTATTTATGATGTCAAATCAAATTAAAATGACCAAAATACCCTTACTCAACATAAGAGATTTATTTTTTTATTTTTTTTTCATAGCCCTAATTTGTAATTTTACAGCTGCGTTTTTGGCACTTTCCAATGACTTTTCTGGCATTTTTGGCAACCATGTTTTTGGACATTTTGTCAAAAAACGTGGCTTTTTACCATGTTCCCAAAATGGCACACAGACACAAATGGCGCCACTGCTCCTCTTTCGCTCTCTCGCTCGTTGTTGTGTTTGGTGTGTCGTCTCCCCCTCTCTCTTTCTCTCACCGCCGATTCTACCTCATCGCCGATCCTCCCTCACCGCCGTTACTGTGTAGGGTTTCGCCTCCCTCTCTCTCTTTCACATACACACACACACGACGGGGCTATTACTCTCTCTGCTTCCTCACCGCCGATCCTCCCTCACCTCACCTCACCGTCGATTTTGAAAGGGTATCTCTCTCTAGAGATTTCGATCTAGGGCTTACACACACACACACACACATATATATATATATCGATCTCTGTTTCGATCTAGAGTACGTATATACATATTTCAACCTCTGTTTCGATCTAGGGTTCACTGCTGTCTCGATTCGAGCTCTGTTTTTTTTTTTCCTCTAAATTTATTAATTGTATATGCTGAAAAAATGTTGACAGATTATTTACAGATTTGTTGCCATCTGAATGTGTTGAAAAAATGTTGTCATCTTTTTGTTTACAGATTTTTTAAATTAGAAAATATGAATTGATTATTTGTTTGAATAGGATGTTACTAAATATGCTTAGATGTTATTTGTTTGAAAATATGTTATTGAATAGGATGTTATTGGATTGGATGTTATTGGATTGGATGTTATTTGTTTGAATATTGATTACAGATCAAAAAAAGAAAAAGAAAAAAGTAATTCGGGGAATTTGCGGGGATACCCGACCTCTCGACCCCAATTTGAGTGGTTATTCCCCGAAAAATACCCTCAAAGGGCCGGGAATGGTATTCAAAAAGGAATCCCCAATGACATTTGGGCCGGGAACGGGGATAGCTGTCTAAGAACCGTACCCGGCCCGGCCTGGCCCCGGCCCTGGCCCCGGTCCCGCCCCGTTTATCCCCCAATGCAAAATTACTCTTATGTCCCTTAGTATATACATATGTGTGTGTTTGTTAGGATTTGACACAACACAACAAACAACACACTCATCTCAGTCTCTCACGCACACAGGTTGTTTTGGGAAGTTGGGAAAAAGCTGACTTTTGACTTTTTACCAAGTTTTTTGACTTTTTTGGAAGTGATTTGGGAAGTTAGTAAAAAGTTGACTTTTTGCTTTTTAGTTTAATATTTATTTATGGTGTCAAATCAAATTAAAATGACCAAAATACCCTTACTCAACATAAGAGATTTATTTTTTTATTTTTTTTTCATAGCCCTAATTTGTAATTTTACGGCTGCGTTTTTGGCACTTTCCAAATGACTTTTCTGGCATTTTTGGCAGCCACACAGACACAATGGCGCCACTGCTCCTCTCTCGCTCTCTCGCTCGTTGCTGTGTTTGGTGTGTCATCTCCCCCTCTCTCTTTCTCTCACCGCCGATTCTACCTTATCGCCGATCCTCCCTCACCGCCGTTACTGTGTAGGGTTTTGCCTCCCCCTCTCTCTCTCTTTCACACACACGCACACGACGGGGCTATTACTCTCTCTGCTCCCTCACCGCCGATCCTCCCTCACCTCACCTCACCGCCGATTTTGAAAGGGTATCTCTCTCTAGAGATTTCGATCTAGGGCTTACACACACACACACACACACACACACACACACACACACACACACACACATATATATATATATATATCGATCTCTGTTTCGATCTAGAGTATATACATATTTCAACCTCTATTTCGATCTAGGGTTCACTGCTGTCTCGATTCGAGATCTGTTTTTTTTTTCCTCTAAATTTATTAATTGTATATGTTGAAAAAATGTTGACACATTATTTACAGATTTGTTGCCATCTGAATGTGTTGAAAAAATGTTGTCATCTTTTTGTTTACAGATTTTTTAAATTTGAAAATATGAATTGATTATTTGTTTGAATGGGATGTTACTAAATATGCTTGGATGTTATTTGTTTGAAAATATGTTATTGAATAGGATGTTATTGGATTGCATGTTATTTGTTTGAATATTGATTACAGATCAAAAAAGGAAAAAGAAAAAAGTAATTTGGGGAATTTGCGGGGATACCTGATACGCGATCGGGGGCGGGGGCGGGGAGGCCGATGGGCTCCCCGTCGGAGATCTGGGACGGGGACGGAGATTTTCACACTTTCAGGGATCGGGGACGGGGACGGAGACGGGGATGGGGAGAGTAGTCCCCGGCCCCGCCCCGCCCCGTTGCCATTCCTAACCACTATGTCTACATTGTACTAATTTACATTGTACTAATTTTACTTACATCAATGATATTTTGATTTTTGTCGACAAAACATAAATGAATAAATTAAGAAGCAGTACTATTTGTTGGAACAAATTGTCTTGAATTCTTCAATTGGTGGTCTTCGGATTTTCAAAACTTGGCGATGAACTTGCTCATGTAGTACAGAAATATGATACTTCAAGTTGCGTTACTTAGTTGCTTTCCTAAAAACAATATTTGCATCCACAAAAAGGTGTACAGGAGGTTATAACAAATTTACCTCCAAGATAAAATGAAGCTTGATCTATAGATCAAGTCTATCGGCGTCTGCACTGACGACAATAGATCAAAATACTCTTGATATAATCAAGAAAATCAAGATACTGATAATCAAATTTGCAGAACTTGATTACTAGTAAGAAAAGTAGAAAAATGCTTAAAGAAACTCTTGATTGAAAACTCAAAATCAAGAGGGAGAGAGAGAGAGAATTGCAGGAGTGCTTTTGAATTTTGTGGATGGAATAAAATGGCTGATTTCGCAGTCTATTTATAGGCCTTGATGCACCTGATTGAATAGTTATGTCCCTTGATCGCATCCGATTAGATCTAACCGTTGGATTGACAATCTACGGTACAGATCATTCTCATCCATACAATCGCGCGCATCTTCAATCAACAGCTATGATCAAATCGCTCCAGATCGAACATACAACCGTTCGATTGGTTAGTTGACTCACCGCCAACGGACGCCACGTCACTGCCACGTGAAGCCGACTGTATTCCATGTCACTTATGCCACGTTGGATCCACGTCATCGCTCTAACCTGTCCAATGCAAATAGGAAAGCGCCCTCGTAGCACCTTACGCCGATGTATCCGTGCCAAATCAAACGTCACATAGCCCATGCCACGAGCGTGTGCGAAGTACCATCCTTGCGGTGTGGGTGTATGCATACTAGCTTTCACCTCACAATTCCATATTCAAAAGAAAATTCCATATTGAAAAGAATATTCCATGTAGCACTTTATTAAATGCTCCATGTTTTCCTCTCTTTTGGATGGGGGACAAAGTCCCCAAGCTTATTTCAAGTTTTCTAAAGAAAAACAAAGAAGGTTTTAAAAACACCTAAAAATCAAACTATACATTTCAAAAATCATTTTGAAAAATTCCCAAACACTATTGTCCTAGCAAATTTGGCTGTTGCCACAGCAGAATTGAGAAATGTTAAACTAGAGTTACTCTGGCAGCAGTCAGTATGGAAAAAGCAATGCAAGAAAAGAGGAAATAAGACATCATCGCTCAATAACAGCTATCAATTAAACTTGAAACTAGAATTTCTAAGCAAAATTCAAAATATAGAAATTGAATAAGCTATTACAAGTAACAAAGATCATATAATATATTAATTTACATGGTCTACATGGCATTCATCAAACTGCTTACTGTTGATCTAATAGAAACTTTCTTTCCCCCAGCCAATTTTTCCAAAGCAACAGAAAATGGCGCCAAAAGAAAAAAAAAAAAAAAAAAAGGGAAAAAAAAAGAAAAAGGAATTAACTATTCTCACTCATTTCACAGCACATGAATTTTAAAAAAGATTTGCCTATCCACTGAGTCCAAGATACCAATGTCAGCAACTGAATTTCCATCTTCACTGGCAATATTCAAATCCAGTGAGTCACACAATCTTTTCTCCTCTTCATCGTCATTATCTTCTTCATCATCTTTTTCTTTTCCCTCACTGAAATTTCGCTTAATGGGAGGAGAACAAGCTCTAGACATTGAGCTCAAGCTTTCGCCACTGAAAATCACAATGGCATCCTTGAGAGGGACCAAGTCACCACCAGCAACTTCAATTCTTCCACTTTCAATTGCTCTCTTAATACCCTTTTGAGAAAAATAATCGACTTGCTCAATATCTTCCATTAAAAACACGCGACTTGGATTATCTTGAATTGCCTCTGCAAACCTTCCAAGATAAGTGCATCCCGACTCATCTCTTGCTCTTTTGTTACTGCATTCCTCACTCGAATCAGCTCTTGTCGATGAAAATTTACTAAGTCCAATCGTGACAAAGTTGTCATGGGAACCAAAAAGAAGCCTTGCTAGCTCCTTTGAAATTTTGTCTTTGCCCTCAAAATCGATACCTAAAAAGAAAAACCAAGTTTCTTCTTTTTTGTCTTCTTTGTGTTTCAACGTGCATTTTCTTTCAACCATTCCAGACCTGCATTCAAGGACTGTTTTCGCGATATCTGAAATTATGTCTTTCTGCCAAGGAACCTTTTTCTCCAATGCATTGCACAAAGACTTCAGGTTCTCGGAATTAAGTTCCTTGAACATGTTCAAGCACTCAAGATCCTCATTTGCTTCACTTGAAGACGCCGAGTTAGGACTAGAATTTGGATTCGATAAGAGGTCTGGTTTTGGGTTTTTTCTCTCTGGAATGTAGCTTCCCAAATTGGATTTTTTGTCACCATTTTCGGAAATTAAGAATTGGTGTTCTTTGGGTGATCTTTTGGGTTCAAAAATCATGGGCCAATTTGAAAGGGTCTGATGCAAGTTATGGCTGCTCTGGTCGTATGAAGAGATTGAAGTAGAGGAAGATGGAGACGATGAAGAAATATTAAGGGCTTTCTCAAGAAAATGGGGCTGTTTGTGGACTGAACTACAAATTGAGTTCCATTTCTTGCAGAGTTCTCCGAGTTTGTTGAATTCCTGCCCCCCAAAAAAAAAAAACACATATGGAAGAAATTATTAGATTTCATTTGGCAGTAATAGGGGACACCACTTAATTAATTATGACACTATTTGCTGCAGCTTATTCTAAATTAAAAATTGATAATTTATTAACAGAATATAAAATCATCTCTCAGTCCTTGCCTAAGTTCATGACAACATCCTTTTTTCACGCTATTTCATTTAAACTGTAGCAAAATGGAACGATTTTTTTTTTTTTTTGGTGGGGGTAGAAATTGGTACCTGATCATTGATAGTTTTTATTCTGTTCTCATCCTTGTACTGTTGGAGCCATGAAGGCAAGCTTGAGCAAGTAGAAGTGGTGGTAGACTCATTGTAACAATTGTTGCTTGCTATGTTTTGAGCTTCTCTATTGAAATTAGCCAAGCAATCTGTGCAGCAAGTGAGATTCTTCTCAACTCCCATTTTAATTTGTGACCAGATTGACTCATCTCCTGATTCCTTGCTTTGGAACTGACCCTTCAGATCACTGGAAAAGCAAAAAGGAAAAGCTCGATTAGTATGATATTACCAACATTAAAATTTTAAAGAAAACATAAATTTAAATATACTGGTTACTAGGAATTTCAATTTTTTTTTAAAAATATTTATAATATCGATATAGAACTTTCAAAATTTGAAAAATAAAATTGTGAGGACCAACATTCTACTTTTATCATGAAAAATTCCAAATATACAAATTTATATAATTTTTTGTATACAATATTACTTTTACAATTATGATTCATCAGTTTTTTGATTGAGTAATGATATATAAGTAAAATAAAAAGAATACATAATTTATATACAAATGATGTGATTGTAGAGTTACTTATCATTTAAAACAAGTGTCTATTTAAATGATATTTAATTATAAAAATATCACCGCCACATTATTCTGATGATAAATTTTATATGAATAATATTTTTTTATTTTAATTTTTAATAAATAAATATAAATAAGTCTTATGAATTTCTGCAAATAAATGAAGTAGCCCAAGATTATCAAACAACAGGAAATATATGATCTAGTTTACCTCTCAAGGTTGAGACTGAGTCCCAAGCAGCCAACAGGAGTAGTGAGAGGGTGAAGTTGCCAAAGAGTCTCCAAAGAAGGCTGGCCAGTCTTACATCTCATGTAAGTCTGAAAACTTGCAATTCCCAAAACCCACAACTTTCCACCACTTTCCCCAACTCCAAACAACAACCTACTCAGCTCCATGATCATGAGCTCCACAGGACAGTAATAGTTCTTGCTATGCCCACCATAGCCTGACCAAAACTCAGATAACCATTTAAGATCACCCAAATACAAAACAACCCCTCTTCCCACATAGCTCTTCACAATGCACCTGAGCTCCCCAAGCTTCTTGTCGGCCTCTTCCATGGGAATATTGTTCAAAGAGAAGAGAGGAAGGCTTATAAACTGCACGTACCTCATCTCCACGGGAACATCTCCTCTATCGAACTTGTCGATCACTCCCTTAATTACTCCCTCTGCAGTGTCCAAACACTCTCCTACAACAATGGTGTTTTTCCTTTTCTTGTTCATCAATGAGTCTAAAACACTCGTCACGTCTTCGCTACGAGCTTGATGATTTGGTGTGTTGAGTGTTACTCTAAACTGATTCATGGATGGAAATTGGGACATGTTTGATGTAAGAAATAAGGGTTTGGTGGTGGTTTCCTTAGACAGACAACTAACAGGAGGACTTTGAGTTTTAGAACAAATCTCCAAAGAGACAGGCACAGCTTGTTCTACATTGGTTTTCACTTGTGTGCTAGAAAAACCAGCTTCTCTCATGACTCTACTGACACTGGGGTCATCTAAGATGGAGAGTACAAGCTGTTCCAGCTCTACTTTCAAAGCTAAAATGTGTTGTTGCTGTTGGTTTTCAATGGAACCGCGGCGTTGATGAGCTTGCGCTCGCTTTAAGGCAGCGACTAAGGCATTGGAGAGAGAAGGGTGGTGGTGGTGGGAATGAGGCTGAGGGCCTAAAATAGGGCTTGAAGCGGAGGTGGGAAGGCGGTTCAACGCCACGTTGAAGCAAAGCTCTAGGGCTTTGAATTGGAGAGGATGAGAATGGAATTGAAGACAAGCTGTTCGAAGAAGGCCAGTGGAGGAAGCGAGCATGGCGGTGGCTACATGGAGAGGTGTCACTTGTGCATGGCCTCGCCGTCTAGCGAGGTTTAAGGCTTGTTTGACAATGGTAAAAGATTCAGTGGTTAGGGTTTGATTGACACTGTAACCTCCTGTCCTCATGTTGTTTAGTTGTTGTGAGCTTTGTGGAAAAGATGAAGAAGGAAGAAGAACTAGAAGTGGTTGGGTTTCATGGGGTTGATTTGGGTAGGAAAGACAAAGTGTAGAGCTCAACTGTCCTTTAGGTGGGTAGTAAGTAGTCTGGTGTGTTTTATAATTTGGAAGTGAAGAGATGTAATGTAAGGTGGGTGAAATAATATAGGAAGTGGGATTGTTCTTTTCTTGTAGGTGGAGCAAAATTTTGGTTTGTTATGCCAAAAGTGGAATGCATGTGAGGGAAAGCTATGCTGCCTCTTTCTCTCTGTTGTATATAATATGGAGGGAAGTCATTCTCTTAACTCAAATTATGGGAACTTATCTGGGACGTAGCAATTGCACACACCAAAAAAAAAAATAATAATAATAATAATACTAAATTTATTTCGGCTCATGATTTTGTGTCATAATAGTATGCTCTTCGGGATGAATATTGTGAGTTAAGAGAATGACTTCCCTCCAGTCTAATCACGGATTGGAGGGTATTGTTAAGCCCGTGAGGCTCACTACGGATCCCTTTTCGATAATCCAAACCGTTAATGTGTAAAACTCGTCGAGTACTATATACTTTTAAAAAATCGCGTTGATTGAATATCGATAGTTATGTGATCAAATCAATTTTGTATGAAAAAAGGATAGAGAAAAATAAACGGCATACAAAAATCTGATTTGATCATATAACTATCGATATCTGATCAACATAATTTTTTATAAACATATAATACTCGACAAGTTCTATATATTTAACGGTTCAAATTATCGAAATGAAACCCGTGATAAACCTTCACAGATTCAACAATATCCTTTAATCCGATCACATACAGGAAGGAAGTCATTCCCGTGAAGTTAAAGTCCCATGTGAGACGTTGAAAGTTATCCATTTCCCTTGAGAACTAGGCTAGAGTAACTTCTAAAAATTGACAAAAAAAAAAAAAAAAAAAAAAAACTTTAAATTTTTTTTGGTTGAAGAAGTCTGGGTCATAATATAATAGTAATATTATTAATTTTTTTGTTAAAACTTAACAGGACTAAAATATAATATATGTAACACTTTTTACATAGTACATCTCCTACTCTCTATCTCTCATACATAAAGGTTGGTGGATAAAGGAAGATGGAGTCTATCTTTAAGGGCTAGTGTATAATATATATGTAAAGATTACACATTACATTAATATATATACAAGTACTCGAATTTTTAAAATTTATTTTTCAGAAAGTTCTATTTATTCATTTTTTATATTTTATATTTTTATCAATTTTTTTTAATATTTTAAATAAATTTTTTTAATTTTTTTTAAACACATCTAACATAAATATACTTAGAAAATATAATATTCGTGAAATTTTTTTTTAAAAATTCACAAAATACTAAACATAAAAAAAAATGAAAATTTAATACACTTTTTAATATTTTTGTGTATTTATTAATTTTTTAAAATATTTTTTCACAAATAATTTACTATTTAGATTCATCTAAATAAGATATTTTTAAAAAATATAAAAAACTGTTTAAAATTTAAAAAATATTCACTAAAAAAATAAAAAAAACAAAACACAAAAAATTTAATTTTTAAAAAATTAAATTTAAAAAATTGAAACCAAAGGCGTTGATAATAATAATAAGGCATTAGCCTAAAAAATTGGACATGTGGCTTTGTGTTGATAGAATTTCATTAATATTTATTAAGGAATGAGAATGGAAGAATAGCCCCTTTTGACTGCTTAAACAATAATGACTCCGTTTCGTAGAGTTGTGCGAAAGTGATTGTAACTTATAATTTAATAGCTTATAATTTATAACTGTGAACACAAGTTGATTTTTAACTTATAAATTAAGTTTCTTATTTCTCATTCAAAAATTAAGTTGATTTTTAACTTATAAAAAATTATAAATTGTATTATTAAATTAAACCAAACATATCAAAATAATTTAAATTAAATTAAAAGTTAAAATAAATTAAAAATAAATTTTATCAAACAGGGCCAATATAAAATACTAAATAATTTCTGAATCAGAACTTTGGTACTCAAAAATTAAAGAGAAAAGCAAGAGCAGGAGGTAGGGAAAAGAGAAAGGAGGAGGAAAAGAGAAGAGAAGTTCACGGATTACGAGGAGGAGGAGAGACTGGGACTGTCTGACTGTTTGAAAGGAATCGATCGGGAACTGTGTTTGTTCTCTCTGAAAGAGTAAGGAATAAAGTGGGTTGATGATTGATGAGATTGTTGATTGTAATTTCTATTGTTTTTCATGCAACTCCATGCCTATTTTTTAAACTATTCAGCATGAAAAATTATTTTGCAATTAGGAGCACGATCTGATCATATTTTTGATCAATCATAAGTTATTGGGCGTGGTTGTTTCAATTTTTTAAAGTTAACTTATAATTTTTAGTTTTGAAAAGTTATTTTAGATTGTTTGGTTAAACTTATTTCAAACAGTTTCTGATTCTAACAGTGTATTTTAACTCAAAAAAGTTGATTGAAAAGCTGCTCACCCTTTATTTCTGATCATCAACTTCTGCTGTGAACATGTTAATTTATAATTATACTCTTGGATTTTTAATTTTATTTTTTTAAAATAGAAAAAGATTCAAATGGATTATAGATTATTATTATTATTTTTTATAAGAAATGTAGACAAATAAAAAATAAAAATTAAATAAAAAATTATTTTACAGTTTATTTAACAAAAACTACTCAGCAATTTAAATCTATAATCCAACAGTTACATTAAACAGATTAATAACTTCTGATTAAAGTCACAATCTATAATCTATTAAACTATAATTTATAAACTGTTTTAACAACTATACTAAACGGGGCCATTATGTCTTGTGTTATTTATCAATCATTTAATATAAAATTGTTGATCTGATTCTCTTCATCAATTATAACACACTTAAGATTCCAAATGCCTGTGTTCCAGACCAAAACAACTTCTCATTAAACAGAGCTACCTTCAAATTCAAGTCTCCTTATGTGTTTGTGTATATACAGGCATGTTCACTGCAAAAAATTAACATTTTGGGACCAAAATTTAAGGATAAAATTATTTTTTATGGACCAAATATTTTTGTTACAATTATATTTTTAACAACGAAAATTGGACATTAGTGATGAATTATTATCTATTTGGGACCAAATTTTTTGTCTAAAAAAATTAACTATTTTAAGACCAAATTATTTTGTCCCTAAAAATCTATTTATTAGTGACATTTTCAAAATTGTCTTTAAAAACCTTATTTTTGACTTTTCGGGACGACCTTTTAGTGACTATCTTCACGATAATAGAAATTAGTCCCTAAATATTTTTTGTAACAATTTTCACTTTCAGAAATTAGAATATTTAGTTTCTGAAACCCTTATATGTTGTAGTGGTTGTTGTACAATATAGCTCTGGTAATCATATAAAATTTACTTTATAGATTCTTCGGGTAATTTTTTTTTTAATTAATTAAATGTGAATAATTATATCATAAGATTATTTTTATTTTTATTTTTAAATAACAAAAAGGGTTAACATAAAAAAAATAAAAGAAAATAAAACTTGGGCCTAACAGCCCTATTGCCCTGAACCTAATCCAACATGTTATTGAAAGTTACGATGTAGGGCATAATTTTTAAAATCAATAGTTAACCCTCTTATTATCACATTCCAACCATTTTTTAGTGTCATTTTAATTGCCAATCACAATTATTTTAATTAAAATATCAATTGTTAACTATTGATTAGTCATGAAAATGCTTTTACATCCCTTAAAAAAAAGGACTAAAACTAGAGTCTCACATCAGCTAATGCTTTATAAAAAAGGCCTCCGACCACAATGTTATTTACTCGTTGGGCTACTTTGTGATTGTGAGGAGCTTCAGGTAGGCCATTTGGCCTGCCTATTTTTAGTCGGCCTTTTGGTGGGCTTTTGGCCCCTTAACTTGCTAATTTTCATCTGTGGACGTTGTTGGGCTACCAATTTTTGGTGGGTCGGTGGCTTGCCTATTTTTGGTGGGCCTTTTGATGGGTTGATAGGCCTGTTCTTCCTCTTTTAGGTGGGCCTTTTTGGTGGTGGTTTCGTCCATTGGTATGCCTATTTTGGGTGGGCTATTTGGGGGTCCTGCCTAGTTTCGTGGGCCGTTTGGGGGTTATTTGGCACATAGGCCTGCTTATATTGGTCATATTTTGATGGCCTGTATATTTAAGCGGGCTTTTTTTTTTGGGGGGGTTGTTCGGCCGATAGGCCTGCCTATTTTGGTGGGCCGTTTGGGTTGCGAGTTTTTGGACTGACTATTTGGTGGGCCATTTGTCCTTCCTATTTATTTATTATTAATTTAATTTTTTTGGCCTTTTGTTTTGCTATTGAAATTATTTTTATTTTTTAATTTATTTGCTTTGATATTTTTTTGAGTTTTTTAGATGTGTTGATTGAGAAAATGATCATTTAATGGAAAGTTTATTTTTTAATTTATTTGTGTTAAATTATATTGAAATATGTAGGAAGTGTAAAATTTATTTTTGTTAGTTTGTATATTGAAATATGGAGTAGTAGTAGTACGTAGTAACTTAGTAGTATTTTTTTAAAAATATTTTTGCTTTGGTAAGTTTATCATTAAAAGTTAGATTTTTTCATTATTAATTTTGATTACTGTTGGCTTTTTTGGCTTTCGAAAATTAGAAATGTAATTTCAGTGTGCTAACAAGGATTAATAAGTCCTTACAAAGATTAGTAAATGCCAACCAATTAGTCAAACGATTGTTTTGAAGTTCTTTTTTGCCTTAATAAAGAGTACTTTTACTGGTGACCTGATTTTTAGGAGAAAATTAAGAAGAATAATCAAAGTAAAAGAAAGAGGAAATAACAGTGTTAGAAATCAAATTTCATTAAGTAAACAAAAGTTTATGTCTACTCAACAACAACTAAAACCACCCACTGTTCCACCTTTATTTCTACAATGCCACATATGCCTTCATGTCTTCCACTTGTCCATCATATTCTTTACATGTGTTTCAACTTCTTCCGCCTTGTCTTCCATGTTCCACCATGCAAGACCATTAATTTTGTAACTTCTCTTTACTTCTGATTGATCAAGGAAGTGCCACGTGTCTTGCAATAATAATAATAGTAATAATAATAATATTACTATTTATGGTGTCAACATTACCCCCTGCGGCTCTTTAAAAATGATGTTTATTTAAATTTTTGAAGAGCTGAACTAAGTATAGAATTGATATGAGTAATAAAGTGCTTTGAATACCACAACAG